GCCAGCTGTGACTTTAAAGTGATTGTTCTTATAATCTGAGGCTCTGTCCCAAATACTTGAGGGCATTAAAGAATTCTTCATGGGCCCTATGGAATTATCTCATATGCTTACTGCATTTTACAAGTTGCTGAGAGAGAGGAAGAGAGGAATACATGCAGTTTGAAACCACGTGGAGGCCGGGTGCGGTGGCTCATGCCTGTAATCCCAGTACTTTGGGAGGCCGAGGCGGGTGGATCGCTTGAAGTCAGGAGTTCAAGACCAGACTGGCCAATATGGCAAAACCCCATCTCTATTAAAGATACAAAAATTATCCAGGAGTGGTGGCACGCACCTGTAATCGCAGTTACCTGGGAGGCTAAGGCACAAGAATCACTTGAACCTGGGAGGTGGAGGTTGCAGTGAGCTGAGATCATGCCAATGCATGCCAGCCTGAACGACAGAGTGAGACTGTCTCAAAACAAACAAACAAAAACCCAACAACAACAAAAACAAGACAAAAAACACATGGAGAGCAGTTTTTTCCCTCTTTATTTCTGGGTCACAACTTATATTTTCAGGATGTCTCTCAGGTAAACTGCTAAAACATAATCCTAACAAACTTGGATCCTTTACTTTCAAAATCAGCCTGTCTACTTCATAATATCATCTTGTTGATGTCTGCATGCTTTGGTCATCTCCTTCTTGAAGTCTTAACCCAGCAGTGGAAAAGATGCAACAACACCCTCCTTTTTCTCTGAATAAGTCTTTAGCATGAATTTGGACTTTCAGCTTCCAGTGTATGAGAGAGAGAGAGAGAGAGTGTGTGCATGTGTGTATGTACATGTGTGTATATGTAGCTAGTTATGTTAAAATGTGTATTTTTAAATTATGAGCTATTCAGTCAGACAAATGATATAGCAGATAATATCATGATCACCTGTATACCACCGCTCAGCTGAAAAAATAAAAAATTAGGCTGGATGTGGTAGCTCGCTCCTGTAATCCTAGCACTTTGGGAGTTCGAGGCAGGTGGATCATTTTGAACTCAGGAGTTTGAGACCAGCCTGGGCAACATAGCAAAACCCTGTCTCTATAAAAAATATAAAAATGAGCCAGGCATGGTGGCTTTTGCCTGTGGTCCCAGCTACTTGGGAGGCTGAGGCTGGAAGTTTGCTTGAGCCGGGCAACAGAGGTTGCAGTGAGCCGAGATCACGCCACTGCACTCCAACCTGAGTGACAGAGTGAGAATCTATCTTAAAAAAAAAACAAACAAGAATAAATAAATAAATAATAAAACATTACCACAAGATGAGAGACCACCTCCCGCCATCCAGTGTCTGGCTATAATTTTCTTGTTTTTTGGTTAACCAAATTACAAGAAAATTGTAGCCAAACACTGAACAGCAGGAAGTGGTACTCATTCCCGGTCACATCCCCTTCCCTCCCCTCAGAGCTAACCATGATCATGAATTTGTTGCTTACCATTCTCATACATATGTAAGTAGCTACTTCTGCTTGCTTTTATTTTGTAGGCAAGTCTATCTCAATCTAATTTTCACTTTATTTCAAGATTTGAAAAGTTGTTAATCATGATAGATCTTCTCTCTCATCAGGTTACTTTTTGTGCATCTTTGCTCCCCCTGCACCACACACACTTCTATTTTTGTTTCTGATGATTAAAAAAAAAAATACATTAACTCATTTGATCTTTTTAAGGAACCAGAGGTAATATACTGACATTTCTTAGCCTGTCCCTATGATGGCACTGTGATGCTGCCTATGACCTCAGGTTTTTTAAAAAACAGCTTTATTGAGGTACGATTGACAAGTAAAACTGTATAAAGTTAAGGGGATGATTTGATATTTAGGTAAGCTGCTCAGGGTTTTTTTTTTTTTTTTTTTTAACAGCTTTATTGCCGGGCACGGTGTTGTGTGCCTGTAGTCCCAGCTACTCGGGAGGCTGAGGTGGGAGGATCGCTTGAGCCCAGGAATTCTGGGCTGTAGTGCGCTATGCCGATCGGGTGTTCACACTAAGTTTGGCATCAATAAGGTTACCTCCTGGGAGCGGGGGACCACCAGGTTGCCTAAGGAGGGGTGAACTGGCCCAGGTCAGAAACGGAGCAGGTCAAAACTCCCATGCTGGTCAGTTGTGGGATTGTGCCTGTGAATAGCCATTGTACTCTAGCCTGGGCAACACAGCAAGACCCCATCTCTAGAAAACAAAAAACAGCTTTATTGAGATACGATTGACAAGCAAAACTGTATAAAGTTAAGGTGATGATTTGGTATACTTATTCAAGGGTTCTGCCAAAGAAAATCCTCAAGACTACAAGGACTGTTTGGCTGGTGGCTGAGAAGCAGTAGGAATATGAGTACTGGGATGCAGAGAAGACGTTTTAAATTCAATTGATTTTGAATTACCATGCACTTTCTTAGTTTTATCTCTCTGACCTGGGGCATACCCAGCCAGCTGGCAAACTTTTCTAATGAAACTTTGAATTGTTTTGGAGCAGGTTACGTCTGATACGACCAAGCACTTCAGTGAAGGACCTATAAGGAGGAGAAGTCAGGAAAGGCTAAAATTTCAAGAACAAGAAGAAGAAAGGAAAAAAGAAAAGAGAAGAAGAAGTAGCTGAAAGGTGTGTAGACCAAATTTAATGACAATTTTTTTTCTTTTGATATATGGATTAATTCTTTTGGGTGAATGGCTAGACTTGGTAGATAACATTGAGCTAGGGGGCAAGAATTGGAGCAGATTGGAAAATGTCATTGAAGGCTGCAGTCTTTCAACTGTGCTGTTACAAAACCAAAATAGCAAAACTGTTGAAAATAAGAGACTTGGGCCGGGCATGGTGGCTCACGCCTATAATCCCAGCACTTTGGGAGGCCGAGGCGGACAGATCACGAAGTCAGGAGATCAAGACCATCCTGGCCAACATAGTGAAACCCTCTCTCTACTAAAGTACAAAAAATTAGCTGGGTATGGTGGTATGCACCTGTGGTCCCATCTGCTTGGGAGGCTTAGGCAGGAGAATCGCTTGAACCCGGGAGGTGGAGGTTGCAGTGAGCTGAGATTGCACAACTGTACTTCAGCCTCGTGAGAGAGCAAGACTCTGTCTCAAAAAAAAAAAAAAAAAAAAGAAAGAAACAAGAGACTTCAAAAAATATGGTTGTCAGGGAGGACAGATGATGAGGAATAAAAGAACTAGATAAATTAAGATGTCTGGAAAGAAATGATTAAGAAAAAAAAGGACCATAAACTTTGATAGTGAAAATTCTAGCCTAACAAATTCAGAATTTTACCAATTTACCAAATATTATCAAAACTACCTAGCCTACTAATTTAAAATTTTTAAGAATTTAGGTCTGGGATGGAATTTCTTCTATAAAATGGTCAATAAACAAGCTAACTTGTATGCAAGAAGGCATGGATTGATTGGGAGTATTTTTCTTGTTGGCCTAAATTCTGTCTCTGAATTTAAAGAGCCTCCATATTATTTCTTTTTTTTTTCTTTTCTTTTTCTTTTTTTTTCCTTTTGAGATGCAGTCTCACTCTGTTGCCCAGGCTGGAGTACAGTGGCACGATCTCAGCTCACTGCAACCTCCGCCTCCCAGGTTCAAGTAATTCTCCTGCCTCAGCCTCCCAAGTAGCTGGGACTACAGGCATATGCCACTATGCTCAGATAATTTTTGTATTTTTTTTTTTTTTTTTTTGAGGCAGGAGGTGGGCCTGTAGATGCAGCCGGGAGAAATTTTTGTATTTTTAGTAGAGACAGAGTTTCACCATGTTGGCCAGGCTGGTCTCGAACTCCTGATCTCAGGTGATCTGCCTACCTCAGCCTCCCAAAGTGCTGGGATTACAGGTGTGAGCCACCATACCCAGCCTCTTTGTATTTATTTCTTTAAGTTTATCATTGATGTCCAATTAAGGAGTTTGAGTCTAGAAGGAGCTATTGGATTGCCAAAGGCTGCCAGTTGAGTACAGATGAGCCAAAACTACAAAGCTTTGAAAGTTAATTTTACTTCCTGGCCCTTCCTCATGCATGTTTATTCTTTTATTCTTTCATGTAAATTGTAGGCATTCCGAAAAGGAGATAGGCAGGCTCATGCCTGTAATCCCAGCACTTTGGGAGGTTGAGATGGGAGGATCACTTGAGGCCAGGAGTTCAAGACCAGCCTGGACAACATGGGAAAACCCTGTCTCTACAAACATTACAAAAAATAAAAATTAGCCATCTGTAGTGGCACATGCCTGTAGTCCCAGCTACTCAAGAGGGTGAGGCAGGAGGATCACTTAAGTCCAGGAGTCTGAGGCTATAGTGATCTATGATCGTGCCACTGCACTCTAACTTGGGTGACAGAGCAAGACTCTGTCTCAAAAAAAAAAAAAAAAAAAAAAAAGGGAGATAAAGAATACCCTTCCATGTGTCCCTTACTTTTTTGACCGGTGGGGTGATAGGAATTACTTGAGGTCATGTTTGTGAAAGTTGGCCAGCACTTGAGCCTAATCAATATATCTATTCCCCCTCAATCCAGGTTGAATATCCAATTTAAATAACCCTCTGACTTTTGGCTAAGTTCTGACTTAGGTAATTATCCCTTCTTTCCCTTTCTCCATGTTCCCGTAAGGGCCTAACTGAGACAGTTTTAATTTTCAGAAAACAGCAGGAAAAAAGCCCGTATTCTTATAAGCCAGTATGTTTTTCTGATAGTGTGCTGTGTTAAGTAATATGTACCAAGGATCAGTTCTTACCCGGAAGATTTTCCGAGTACTTTGACTCATCTTTATTTGTCTGTGTGAAACCAACTCATAGGTTTTATTCACAAGAAAAAGGAAATAGTCACCATGAAAGCTAGATCCTGTGATCCCTGCATGTGGTTTGAGAATGTAGGGGCTAAAGACCCCTCCATTGAATTCTGTAGCCTTCTTTCTTTGATACTCTTATCTCTGCAGAAGACCTCCTTTACAGCTTCTATTTGACTAAGAAAATGATGTGTCTTTCCCCTTGACTGACGCTTAACAGTGTTTCGTTTTGTTTTTTATCATAAATTGTCTATGTCAGGTCCTGGGGTTAGCAGTGGTGGATTCCTGGAAGCTGAGATGATCTGTTCTTCCTTGGCAGCAGGAGGGAGGGAGGAGGAGATCAAATGCCTGATAAATACCTTCTGAGTGGCTTAATCTTATTCATTGTCCAGAAAAAAGGTGATTGGCAATGGAAACAGAAGCCCAAAACCAAAGCTGAAGCACCTCAAGAGCCAGACTCTTCGGAGGAGTGGGAGGAGAGGAAGTACCTAGTGGCTCAGAGGTGAGTTGAGGTACTTCGGTTCCTACTGGTACTCCTGAGGAAAATTTCAGGAAGGCTGTTGCCGAATTTTTCTTCAAGTTTGGTAGGTTCTCACTGTTCTGAGACATTACCTTTGCATTTGAGCAGTGGCCAATTGAAAATTCACTCCATGGAAGACTCACTGCTTCCACTGAGGTTTATTTTAAATAGGCTGACCTCTAACAACCTGGTAGTAGATTTACAAAAGGGATATCCACATTATCTAAGGAGTTGCATCCCACCTCTTCCATTTGACACACACACTCTCTCTCTCTTTCTCTCTCTCTCTCTCTCTCTCTCTCTATCTTTCTCTCTCTCTCTCTTTTCTAAACTTCAGGACAGTATTACCCAGAGCATTTAGCTAGCGTATAGACTTTTCTAAGTTCCTAATGGATGTAACAGAAAAATGCCAGGGGGAAAGAAATGGATGGGAGTGGGTGTTAGGTTTGTAGTCTTCAATTAACTTTACTTGTCCACTCATCTGCAGTAGCTTTGGAAGAATCTTGAGCCTTGTAACAAGCTCATGATAGTCTTGTCTTAAACTATTTGATAAGGAATGTCTTACCTCACAGAGCAATTGTTACGTTTGGAGAGTTTCATTTTTGGAAGGTGTTTCTTCCCCTTCCTGACCTCCTAAAGATAGCTAGATTCTGCAGATGTCCTGGATTAAAAGCCAGAAAAGCTACCAAAGTGTTAATTTAAAAATCTATATCCAGTGTTTTAAAGTATGAATAGTAAATGCCGTTAGGATTACGTAGAGTTAATTTTATGTGTATTTGCAATTTTGACCTCTTTCTCATTTGTGTGAACAATCAAACTTAGTGAAATCAGGATCAGAAAAACCTCACATTTACATTGATAATAAGACTAGCTGGATCTCTTTATTTTCCTTAATAATCTCTGAGGGTGACTCCTCCTAAAGAATTTATCTCTTTCAATGTGCATGGTGTCTGATTCTTGGCCCCATAAATACTTATACCCATTATGCAGTCTCAGGTTCTAATCCCAGGTAGTGTATAGGCACTGTGCTCTGATGTGTGTCAGGTGTCAGTGGGAGCACAGTACAAAGCCTCCAGCAGAGTGGGGCCTGTGGGCAGCACCTTTCACCTGCTCTGTGGTTATGTAGAGCAGATAGCACCGCAGACATGACTACAGATAGAACCATAGTCACGGCCACATTTGCTACTTGCTGCCTTGCTTCTTACTGAGCACAGGGAGGTGGGAGGGAAACTTAGAGACAGCCTTACTTGCAGTCCATAGTAAGAAGCTGGTAGAAAAAGAAAGGCAGTTTATCTTTTATGCTGGTTGACCCTTTTAGATATATATTTCACCTATCAGTCTTTTCTTGTATTGGGATTTTCTGGGAGGGCTATAGATCATTTCTTATTCCTCTTTGTATCTCTGGCTCCTAGCACAATACCTGGAACAGCAGGCTCATTGATTTTTGAACAAATGAAAAAAGAGTCATGTGCTTTTAAGGCTATGTAAAGTGTGCCTTCTCACATAAGCATTGGCATAGACCTACTCAAAACAGTTCTTATTAGACTAAGACATTTAATGTTGCCTTCTATTTCCTCATTGCAATATTGTTTCTCATTTGGATCTATCCCAGATATTAGAAGTCTCTTCAGAACAATGTCAGAAAGTACAATTTTCTTTGGAATTTTTTAATCTGTTTAGTTTTTCATGTGAGATTTTAAATCTTTTTCTTTGAAGGGATCCACACAGTTTAACCCACAGGAGGTAGACGACATAGGCACCAAAACTAATGATTCTCCAGTGAACACACTGGAAACTCTGGAGGAAGAACAGCTAAACACTCTGCATCTTCAAAATCAAGAGGAAATATCAAAATACCAGGTTGCCAAGTCAGACAATAAACAAAAACAAAAAATGAAGAAAATAACTAGGGATCACTTACATAAATCTTCCCACTGCCTTAGGGAAGAAAATTTAAGGTGTTCACCTAGAGAACAGAGAACTGGAACATTATTAGGTGATGATGAATATGAATACAGTTTGTTTTTTGAGCGTAACTCCTTGGAGATTACGATAATTAAAGGTCAGCCTCTTGAAAATAAAGACCACCACGGTTCTAGTGAATCTCGTTCCAGATTATCTGGGAGAGGCGATGGCAGAAAACTTAAGATCTATGAAACAGATGCATTTTTTGACTATCTTTTCAATTATTATGAAGCTCCACAATATACTCGTATCTGCCTAGAGACAAGTCCTGCAGCAGGCACACGTCAGTGGCAGAGGGATGTCCAGGCTAAGGGAGATGGATTTCAGATTAGTTTGAGAAAGTGTAGGCACCACTCAATCAATTCGAGCCAAGTGGAAAACCTGGAAAGGGAAAAACAGGTTCAAGAAGATGATTACTCATCAAAGATTTGTACTCAGGATCGTGAGCATAAACAAGGAAATGTGGATTATGCTAGAGAATGTGCTAATGGGTTTAATACTCATTACCAGGAGACAGCCCATGAAGCTGGTGATCAGCTGTCCCCAACTGATGGAAACAGCTGTCTGTTAGAAAAGACTCAAACTTACCATATTGAATATTCCAAATCCACAAGGAAAAGCCAAGTGTCTCCACCCCAGAGGTCAACAGGCTTAGGTTTACAGTTGACAGATTTCTTAGAGGATATTAGTAGTGATTCTGAATGCTTCAGTGAAACCCTTAGCATAAACAAAGAGGAGGAGACATCTGTGGCCACATTTAATAGTTTCTCAGAAAAAGAACCTCTTTATACTGACAAAATGATCACTTGCAAACAAGATACATGGTCAAGTCAGCAGACCTGTTTTTCAAAGTGGAAGCGTGATGGTGAGGAAAAATACTCTAATTACAAGTTTAGGACCCCAGGCAGGAAGTTTAGGTATGAACCAAGATGGAGATTTTCATGGCATAGGGGTGAAAGTAATTTCATTAGACATGAAAACAACAATGGCCAAATGAAAAAACAGCTAGCCCCTAAATACTCGTTTGATGAAGGCTACTACCAGGAACCCTGTTCCTATTATCTATTAGAGGATGTTACAAGAAAGAGGATGAGGTTTAGTGATAGTATGTTTGACCAGCAAGTGAACTACGGGCCCTTTCAGGTGCCTGTAGCATCATCAATAAGTGCTAGCTCTTTCTATTTTGGTGATTTTCGCAGAAGAAGGACTCCTTGGAAGTCAGAATATAACCAGAATGCAAGAAAGTTTAGAGGAGCTAACTATTTCAAGTTCAATTCTAATTATAGCAGACATAATGATCAAGAGTATTTTGACTATGGAAGCTATTCAGGAAATAACTATACTGGTCCTTTAAATTTTAAGTTTTTTGATGGCCACTTAGGTCAAGAGTATCCTTTTTCACAATAAACATGTTACAAGAAGAAAATTTAAAACCAAATATAGCCATATAATTAACAACTACAGAGCAAGAGAGCAGCATTTAAAAGCTTCAAAACCTGGGTGTTTTATATTTCCAAAGCTTGCCAACACACCTGGAGCCATTTTGACCTATGCTTTAAATTTTGGCAAGAGAAATAATGTTTTCTATTTGACTCTGCTGAAGCTTTTAAATGCTGCTTGATCCAAGGACAGACATTTCTACAGTTCAACTAAAAATTTAATTCTGTGCCAGTCAAGGAGCAGATTAACATTGAGAGGGGTTGAGATGGCCCTCTGTGGTTTCTTAGCTATTATAACATCATCATTTAGTATCATTTATCTCCAAAGACGACAACAGTGTATGAAGAACGATCTTTTTACATGTTCTTTGATTTGGTCAGAAACACCATATGCAGCAACAAACTTTCCTGAGTTTTATTTAGAAATAATTGTAGATAAAAGAGATAGCAGAACATAGATTTCTTCATGACATTAAAGAGTTGCATGAGCACCTACCAAAAGAAAATTGATTTTATTACTACAATTAAATACACAAAGAGTTGTCTTTTTCAAGACAAAGTCTTAGAATAAGAATATAAAAGTGGTCCAGATTGTCCTTTGAGGTTTAAGTGGATAGTATTTAAATCCATTAGCAGGGTTGGTTTTTTTTTTGTTTTTTTGTTTTTGTTTTTTTTAAGAAGACCATGGCTTTCCATTTTAGAAAAACAGCAGGATTGAAATGATATAACCAGTGGAATTTGCAAAAGAAAATATTAAAAAATTGTGAGGCACTAGTCATGTCACTTGAAAAGAGGGGATGTGACAGTATTCTATTTGAGGTTATGTAATCCTTTCACTCAGGGCTTGGTGACCGCAGTTTGTAAAAAGTCATTGAATATCCCCCAAACTGAACTTTATTTTTTTTTAAACACCACCACCTAAGTATTTATTGGTCACATTACTTAAGTCCAAAAGTAAAGTGGTCTTTGGATAGGATTTGATCTGAGTTCTAGCTGTTTTTCTGTAATTTTCCATTCTAAAGAATCACTAAAGCAAGAATCTGGTCAAATCCAAACTGAACTTTATTAAGCAGTAACAAATGCCTCTCTTCTCAATCCTCAGTAATGCCATGGAGTTTTTAGAGTCAAGAGAAAAGCCTATAGTTTTGTACCTGGGGAAAAATGTATATGTGTAGAATTTGTAAACTCTTAAGCAATTGATCCTTTTACCTACTAGTTTTTGACTTCATAAATATTTTTAAATTGAGATATTTTATGGATTCTGGAAGACTTACATCTTAGTGCAGTGCAGGTTCCATAGAAAGCTCAGCTGATTCATTCTGCCTTACCTTGCATTTAGGACCCCAGGGGCAATAGATTACCTTTTTTTTTTCTCCAACGAAACTATGCCTGACTTGGTAATTGAAGGCATTAATGACATTAGAGACTGTCAGCAACAGGAAAAAGTGATTTTTAATCCACAGAAGCAGTAAAGGGCAAAACTTTGATATGACATGATTCATTCAAACACTCTTCATCTGATATTATGTAGAAAAGTACCAGCTGGAATATCCAGGTAGAATGCCAGTCATTGTGGTTGCCCAGAATATCACAATGTGTACTCATAACCAGCCTCTTGAGCAACCTGGTATGTGAAAGGGCTACAAAGTCTTATTTATCTTAAGGAAGAGCCACAGTTTCATCGATGTCTTCTAATCAGAGCTGTTAGTACATGCAAGAACTCAGAAATGAATATACCATAGCAGATGATGTTTATTATTAATAACCAGTGGATGATGTATTGGCTTCCTTGTGTTGTTTCACTTTCAAGCCAGTGACTCTTCCATCAAAACTAGATTTGGCTTGTGAAATCTGAAAAACATCGCTCATGGGGCAAGTGCCTTGATTGTTAATATTCAAAGTACTGTACAGAGTAGCCTTTTAAACTACTAACAGCTTGTATTTTGTCAGGCAACTTTCAGTAAACCAGGTATTATTTTCCTTTGACAGAAACCTGCCTCTTAATTTTTCATGTTTCATGCCATTAAAGAATATTACAAGATTGTAATGAGAAACAGCTATGCTTGTTTTGAAAGCTATCTCTCTTCTGTCACTTGACTTTTCATTGTAGAGTTTTTAGACGTGAAAACAGTTTGCTGCTCAGTAGTCAGACATAAAAATAAATTGTAGGTTACATGATGTGCAATTTTTATGTGTAATAAAACCGGTGCTAAGTCATTTCTATATAACATTTTTGTCTTGTTTGTTAAATCATCCTGGGACTTAGAAGAAAGTAAAAATACTGGTTTTATGTTTACATTCTGTATAACCCTAGATTTTTATATGTCTTATGGTGATATATTCTAAATTCGAGCCAACTTTTTTGATGTGTAGGCCTTAAATGAGGAAGATGACATCCTGTACTTTTTAATTGATTGGCTTAGGAGCAAAACAGAACTAAAATATTATAACCACCTTCTTAATTAAAGGTGTTATTCTTTGTTTTGCTAAGTGGTGCAAAAGTATTTTCTCGCATCTTCTTTTATGTCCTATTCTATGTCCCTGTGCCCTAAAGTTCATAGGGATGTGAACTTTAAACTTTGTGTTTTAAGTAGGTATTTTCATGTATGGGCTGCTGGTAGTAATGTAAAAAAGCTAAAAATATGTCAATGTGTTTTCAATGTGTTTAAATTTCTCAGGTAGAAAGCCATGTAACCTGGTAATTTTGAAAATAAGAACCAAATAAACATATTTTTACTTGTTGCAAACTGTTTAAAATATTTATTTTTAAATAAATGCTGGTAGAAAGTTTGGGGGAAAGTTTCTACTTACAGTATGCTGTTTTGCACTAATATTGCTGATCTCTTTTCTCATTTGCATTGTTAGAGAAATAATACATATTTAATTTTCAGATATATTAAAAATAAAAGTGAATATTCTTTGTTCATTTATCACATGTATTGGCTAGCATCTTGCATATCCACAATAACATTTTCTGTGGAAATATAGATGCCTAATTTTAGTATCATTTCTATGCAACTTTTCCCATTTTGTGGAAACTGACATTGTCAGAGTTCATGGGACAGCACATTTTATCAGTGCTAATAAGAGGTAGCAAAATTGACTCCATGGAATTTCATCTGATTCCTTCGGCCCCAGGTGGAAGTGTTAAAGTTATACAGTATCAAAAAATAATTGTGGGTTTGTGATGGGGAGTCTAGTCAGAGAAGCTAGAGTCCTCAATAATCAGTCTTTGACCATTCAAGAGTTAACTCTATTTTCATGTGAAATACATAGCAAACTGCCTCTAAGTATTACAACAAAGGCAGCTGTACCTTGGAGTAAAATCTGGGCACTTTAGAGCTGAAAGGGTCTTTGTCAGGTTCAAAGAGCTCTTTCTGAAACAGCAAGAAATGTATGGATGCTTGTTCTTGATCTAGGATTTGCATAAATTTGGCCCTCTGAAGCAAGGTGAATGTTACATTATGCAGGGAAGCCAGATAGGCAGATACTGAAAACATAATAGTGAATGCTGCTTATGAACCACAGATGCTGGTACTGTAAGTCTCTGCAGCTGGTAGGATGAGAGCAGGTGGGGAGCAAACCAGATGTTAACACCTCCCTCCTTCACTGGACATGTGGTGGTTTAACAACTACCCCTGGACACCACCATCTTCTTGAATGGCAGTGCCTTTTACATGAATATGGCTTATGTATATGCTAGCTGGATTTGAGAAATGTTTAGATCAAAGTCCTGCCTTACAGTAGTATTCATTTACAAGTAACCAATACAATGTTGATTCAGCTCGGAATGGAGGAGAATCAGGTTATTGGGAGTGAAGCTTTAATGAAGCTCTAGATCAGGGGTGTCCAATCTCTTTGCTTCCCTGGATCACATTGGAAGAATTGTCTTGGGCCACACATAAAATATACTAACAACAGCTGATGAGCAAAAAAAAAAAAAAAAAAAAATTTCTCATGTTTTAAGAAAGTTTACAAATTTGTGTTAGGCTGCATTCAAAGCTGTCCTGGGCCACATGCAGCCCATGGGCCATGGGTTGGACAAGCTTGCTCTAGGTATTTTCCTCTTGGCAGCAGACAAGCCTGTTTAATTTTGCAAAATGAGTAGTCTAATCTTCACATGCACATGAGATTTTAGGCTGCAAAGGTGGGCCCAACTTCTCTCTCCAACTCCTTCTCCAAAGCATAAGGCATAGCAAGTTACATGGTACAAAACAGGCACTCAAACATTTGGTGAATGAAACCCAGTGGGGAAAGAAAAGCACATTAAAAAAAAAAAAAAAACACCTCACAAGTACATGCAATGTGGTTTGATAACATGAAAAATGGAAATTTCTTTGGTTCAGGGAGTGTATCTCTTGTAAGAAAACTCTACCAATGTTAACATTAAAATGACAAAACACTAATAAGTTGTCTTCATTTATACAACTGACTGCATATGCAAATCTGTTATCCTTCTTTTGACATGAGGTGAATTAACTTTGTTACTATAAGGATTCCTGATACTTTCCTGATCAGACAATACATTAACATAAAAAAAAACCCAAAACCCTTCCTTGGCACTTGGCAATGACAATGCCTTCAGTAACATTACTTCTTAAGAACCTTGCTATAGACTTCAAGGTGGAGGTCTGCCATTTACAGTTTAGAAAGTTCTGATTTAGGCAAAATTTTGACAAGTCACAAAAAAAAAACACTTCAATTCACTATTTCTTAATAGGACAAGCTGGCATTTGGTTTGTGGTATAAGGTCTCCATAAAATTTTGCTGCTGCTTTTGGAATACAAAAACGCTGCACTCAAAAGTAAAACTGGATTTTAGGCCACAGTAAAATGACTGAATCAGATTCCCTAGAATAAAGTTTTTTAAATAATTTAAATAAGTCACCACACTATAGTGGGTAAAACCATTTTTATTAACTGACCAAAGCACATCATTTTGTTTTCTGATTTGAGGGAAAATCATTAAACACAGTTCACAAGAAAATACAACGACTATTTAACTACAATTACAAGAGTTTGAAATCTCACTAGTTGTTCACATAATACTTTTACAAATTCATACAACTGTATAGTCTACTTAAGCATAGTGTTAACCAAAAGAGCAATATCAAAGACTGAGACACTTGACTACTACTTTTGCAGTGGGTGTAGTTTTATAACAACAACAAATGTTACCTTATGAATATGTTTTACTTTAAAAACGACTTGGCTAGTTGACTGTACTGTTTCCTTGTGGTTCAGGGGTGTGCATGAATGCTCTTAGGAGAGCAAACACCTGTTCCTATTCTGTATGTCCCTCTCTCATTTTCACATGAGAATAACCAGTTGAGTAAAATAACCAAATAACCATTGCCTCACCATGAACATGAGGCTTGAGAAGACAGTCCTACAATCTTCATCATATATTTAGGTTTTTAGGCCAGCAAGCTTTTTACCAAAGCTTTCTTTTGACTGTTCAGATCCTATTTTAATGCTAACTATATACTACTGTGTGTGTGATGGTGTCTGAGTGTCTATGTGAGGGCAAGGACAACAATGCAGTCCAGAAACACAGTAAATATGCTTTTTTGCAGCTGAGCTCTGTTTTGAGATTTCATTTTGTTGCTGGGCAGCTTTTTAATCAATACCAAAGTCTTTGGAACACTGCAGATTTGCTTTAGAGGTAGATAAAACAGAAATCATGCAGTTAAGTCAATTGAGAGAAAAAAAGGATTTGCTGTCTTTAGAGAACATCATGACTAAAAGTTGATCCTTTGCTCTCGGTGCACATTTCAGATTTTTACCTTTTTGGGAAATACCCAAGTCTTCCTTGTCTCTCAGGAAAAACACGTTTAAATTCATCCTGTACTAACTACAAGTAGAAGAAAAACAGTATTAACATGTGTATTACAGCACTTCAGTTCACTTCCTGGATTTGTGACACACAAACACATCATGCATTCTAAGACGAAGTTAATTTTATTAGTGTCACTAGTGATGTTAATTTAAAAACGTATAGCAAGTGTTTAAAACTTTTCTAAATATTGTAATCACTATGTTTTAAAGACAGAGTGGACTGTTACAAATGATTTTGCAAAATACAAAAATAGATATACTTCCACTGAATGCTTTAATCATTTTTCCGAGCACTCTCATCTTTTGGTTCTTCCTCATCTGAGTACACAGTGGGCTCCTCCCCCTCCTTCAGCAGTTTGCCCACGTGATGATACTTGACTGGAGGTAGAAGAAAACACAAACGGTCATTCTCATTCTTTCTAAAACATCATTACCACATTTCAATTTAAAGCATTTATTAGAGGCCTACAATATACTCAGCAATCTGTTGGGCTTCTTGAAGGATACAGAGGTGGTTTATACCACCGTCCTTGCCAACAGGGAATTCGTTTTGTACAGAAGCCAGACACATAAAACAGGTGGCAATGTCTGGCAAGAGTGTGTAAGGTAATATCGAAATGAATCGTTTGTGTGTAGAGAATGCTTAGAAGAACAAGGGCATGTTATAAGTTTGTTAGAAGGGTTATAGAACACTTCATGGAAGGAGGATATATTTTGGAAAAATGTAAAGGATTTAGGGAGCAAGTTCCAGAAAATTAAAATACCATGTACAAATGCATGCAGGTGAGACAACATATCTGGGAAGCAATAAAGAGACCAAGTTGGCAGGAGTAGAGTTAACATTTATAAGTTAGTAGAAGATAAGATTGGCTAAGTAGTGTGGGGAAATGTTATGAAAGATCTGAAAAGCCAGCCTGAGGAGTTTGGACTTACTGGTGGCAAAGGGCACTGAAGGTTTATAAGCGAAGGAATGACAAAGTAAAATAGTGCTTTAACAATAGTATCAATGTGATGTATAGGGCAGATTTCAGTAAGGAGAGACTGGGAACAGGATGATCTGGAGGCTAGCGTGCAGATCCAGGTGCAAAGGAACCAGAGCCAGGAACAGGGTGGTGTCCAGGGGAATGGAAAGGGAAGGATGTGTACTTTGCAAGAAAACTGGAAGAATGAGTTAATTAAGTGAAAACGAGCTCCCATAGACCAAAATGGGCACTCTGTGGAGGGAGCCATTCTGGAGGGTCACGTGACAGGAGATCTACAACATGGAATGGGACAAGTGAAGTCAGGATTGGCAAGAAAAAAAAAAAAAGGTTTCCCCAGAAATCTTTCAAAAAGAAAGTTCAATCCTATTGTGGGGATAGAAGCCATATCGTAGGGAGGAAGGAGGTGTAGAGAGGAAATGAAGCAGTAGTTAGCGATAAAAACTTACAAGAAGTTTGTTTGACAGTGAAGGGAAGGAAAAATAGTCTCATAGATGAAGAGGATAACAGGAGACAGAATGTTTTTCCCAGCACAGAGAAAAACCTATGGGTGGCTAAAGGAAGTGGTAAAGGAGCCAGGATATGACTGGAGGTGTTAGAGAAAACAGATGTAAGGGTGCAAACCAGAATGCAAAAGACTTGAGATGGCATCAGCAAACCTCCATATCACTGTAGCCAAACTAATGCAGGGTCGATCATCTGAATATCCGAAGCCAAGAGTCTCCTATTCCTGAATATGAGTAGGAATTAGAGGAGTAACCAACCTGTCTAACCAGGTAACTAAAGCTGCTTTTGTGTGAAATAACCATCAGGAACAACTAGAACTGTACAAGACAAATAAAAGCCGGGTGGTGCCTGGGAAACCTGCCTTAAGGGGAATCCACACCAGCTTTGAGTGTAGCTGAGGTGTCAAAACAGCAACTGGGGCCA